TCAGGCAATCCACTCACCTCAGCCTCCCGAAGGTGCGGGATTACAAGCTGAGCCACCGAGCCCAGCTGGGTAACTTTCAAGACTATGAAATTTCCAATTGGGCCTATGATAAGTTGGGCTGATGCATAAATTCGTAGCATTTTTCACTTGCCCACAGACCGCAAATGTCACAGTCACAGTTCATCACATTCACCAATTCTCAGGTTGACTGATGTGGATCACTGTGGACTTGGGTGTTTAAATGGTCTCCACCAAAGCTCAGTGATCTTCCAGAAGATGGCGAATCCCTCAGGTCAAAGTGGCACTCTTGGGACGCACAAAGCCATTGTCTCGCTGTGCTGCCCTGATGGCACCCTCCCCACACATGACACAAATGTTTCGAGCCGCCTCTGCTGCCTTTACACCTCCATTAACCTCAAACAAAAGAATACATTGGAAGTGTTCATTTTCTCACTTGACACTCCACCTTCTTTAGCCTACAAATAGCACTAGCTTCCTTCAAACCTGCAAAACGCAAGGCATAGCCACCAGCACAAAATTGTCACTCCAGATGACATATGACATACTCCCAAAAATGGAGTGTTGCCATGCCAAAGACAAATGCTAGGAACTTATGGATCAGCCTAATTCAAGACAAAATGTACATGGTATCATTATGCAGATGAGGATGTTCAAATAAAGAAAAAAGCATGTTTCCTTTTAAATATTTCAAGCCATCTACATTAACTATGATAAAGAATAAAATCAAATTAAAATTATCCATACCATTGTTTGATGGGCAAATTAAAAGTAATTTCTTGCCAGTGTCTCTGAGCTTCATAATCACCAAACATAGGGGGTTTTCCAGCACCTAAGGTGAAAGATAAAAAGAGCAAAACAACAATGTACTTTACCAAATCAGTGATTTGTATTTCCTTACGAAAATTTCCTCAATCATACAGGCACTTAGGGAAAGAATATAAAGTTGTCAGAGAGAAGAGGTGTGAATCCCAGCATAGGGAACACACGGCCTGTGTGACCCTGGGCAAATTACTTAATCTCTCTAAGCTTCAGCACATTAAAAACAGAATCAATACAATCTTCCTATGCAGGACTACTGAAATAAATAAGATAATGGATAAAAATATCCAGGGGATAAAAATATCTGAGGGGAAATTGGTTCCAGGACCCCACCCCAAAATCCATGGATGCTCAAGTCCATTATATAAAATGGCAGAGCATTTCCATACAACCTACACAGAACCTTTTGAATACTATAAAACAACTCTAGATCACTTATAATACCTAATACAGTATAAACTCTATGCAACCTGGGCATGGTGGCTCAAGACTGTAATCCCAGCACTTTGGGAGGCTGAGGCAAGAGAACTGCTTGAGCCCAGTAGTTTGAGACCAGCATGGGCAGCAACATCGCAAGACCTCATCTCTACAAAAGTCAAACAATTATCCAGCCATGGTGGCATGTGCCTATAGTCTCAGCTATTTGAGAGGCTGAGGCAGAAGGATTGCTGGAGTTCAGAAGGTCAAGACTGCAGTGAGCCATGATTGTGCCACTGCCCTCCAGCCTAGGTGACAAGGTGAAACTCCGACTCAAAAAAAAGTCATGTAAATAGTTATTATACTGTATTGTTCAGGGAATAATGGCAAGGAAAACAGTCTACATGTTCAGTGTAGACACAACCATCCTGTTTTTTCTTCCTGAGTATTTTCAATCCATGGTTTGTTGAATCCACAGATGTAGAACCCACAATACAGGGAGCTGACTATATTTAGTTAATAGTAATATTAAGATACCCAGGCTGGGCATGGTAGCTCAAGCCTGTAACCCCAGTGCTTTGAGAGGCCAAGAAAGGAGGATGACTTCAGCCCAGGAGTTCAAAATCAGCCTGGGCAACATAGCGAGACCTGTCTCTTTAAAAAAAAAAAAAAAAAATTAGCCTGGTGTGTTAACGCATGCCTACAGTCCTAGCTACTCAGGAGGCTGAGGTGGGAGGATTGCTTAAACCCAGGAGTTTGGGGCTAGAATGAGCTAGGATCACACCACTGCACTCCAGCCTGGGCACAGAGTAGACTCTGTCTTGAAAAAATAACAATAAATAAAAGATATCCAAGTTTATTTTTCCTGGGACAGTCTACTATACTACCCAATAAGTATCATAAAATAATAACATGAATATCTGCATTTTATAAAGGGTTTTACAAACTTAAAAAAATAACAAGGTCAAATACAGAATCAAAAATAGACTGTAAGCCGGGCTCGGTGGCTCAGCCTGTAATCCCGCGCCTTTGGGAGGCTGAGGTGAGTGGATTGCCTGAGCCCACGGGTTCGAGACCCGCCTGGGTAGCGAGACCTCATCTCTACAATAAATCAAAAAATCAGCTGGACATGGTAGCGCATGCCTGTAATTCCAGCTACTCGGAAGGCTGAAGCGGAAGGATCGCCGGAGCCCAGCAGGTCGAGGCTGCGGTGGCCGGGAGCTGCGGTGGCCGGGAGCGGCCACTGCACTCCAGTCCAGGCGACAGAGTAAGACTACAACTCAAAAAAAAAAAAAAAAGTCTGTAATGTTACAAAGACATTAATTAGGTCAGGCTTTGCTGTCAAATTAGTTATATAAAACTGCTGATTTACAGTTTGTTTAATTTTTTTTAATTGTAAAAGGCAAATAAGAGTTGATGGACCTTTAATAACTAACACTTGACAATGCCTACTGTGCACCAAATACAACAACCCTATGAAAAAGGTATTATGATTATCACCACTAAACAGCTGGAAAACCAGAGGCAATAGTTATTATGGTAATAGGTAGCAGAGTCTGGATTTAAATCCATGCTCTTAGCTGCTACTCTGTAATGCCTTATAACTTGGTTAGGTAGGTTATTATTCCTAAACTTAAAATGACATAAAGAAGCTGGGTGCAGTGGCTCACGCCTGTAATCCCAAAACTTTGGGAGGCGGAAGAGAGGACTGCCTGAGCTCAGGGGTTCCAGACCAGCCTGGGCAACTTGGCAAGACCTCAACTCTACAATAAATAAAAAAATTAGCTGGACGTGGTGGCGCACACCTATGGTTCCAGCTACTTGGAAAGCTGAGAAGGAAGGATCGCCTGAGTCCAGCAGGTAGAGGCTGCAGTGGCTGTGGGCGTGCCACTGCACTCCAGCCTGGGCAACAGAGTGAGATTCCAACTCAAAAATAAATTAAAAATAAATGAATAAAACAAAATGACATAAAGACTCTTTCCATTTAGTAAAGAATAAGCACTCACTCACTCTTTAGCTAACAGTTAATGACAAAATTGAGAGAAGGACCAAATTAGTAAAGAATGATCACAGATTTTTAAATTGGAATGTGAAGTGAAAGTCACATATAGCCAAATATACTCATTAATTCATTAGGAAGGTGTGCCACATTGAAGAATGACATATTATTGCTCACTGAAATTTCTCTGGTTTTGGAACATGACATTAGATAGTGTTTGCATTTAATGGCTGAATTATCCAATATTATTTAAATGTTAGAATCTCTATCCCGAGACATTGCCACTCACAGACAATCATGGGGAAAGCAGATTAACTTTTCTACAGCATATACACATTAAGTGACTAGCACAAGAAATTAACCACAGTATACACACACGTGCATATATGTGTCTCTATCTCAGAAAGAACCATGTCTTATTATTTTTTGTACTCTGAGAATGTAATAAAACCTAGGAGAGTCTCAATGCCACCTCGTAGAATCTCAGCAAAGGCCGGGCTCGCTGGCTCAGGCTATAATCCCAGCACTTTGGGAGGCCAAGGCGAGTGAATTGCCTGAGCCTGTGGGTTCAAGATCAGTCCGGGCAACTTGGTGAGACCTCGTCTCTACAATAAAATAAAAAATAGCCTGGCATGTGGTAGGGCGCATCTGTAGTTCCAACTAGTTGGAAGGCTGAGGCGGAAGGATCGCTGGAGTCCAACAGTTCGAGGCTGCGGTGGCCGGGAGCGTGCCACAGCACTTCAGCCTGGGTGAAAGAATGAGACTCCAACTCAAAAAAAAAAAAAAAAAAAAAACAACTCAGTGAAAGTTGATACAGCCAGGCTCGGTGGCTCAGCCTTAATCCCACACCTTTGGGAGGCTGAGGTGAGAGGACTGCCTGAGCCCGCGGGTTCAAGACCCGCCTCGACAATTTGGCGAGACCTCATCTCTACAATAAATCAAAAATCAGCCGGGCGTGGTAGTGCGCACCTGCAGTTCCAGCTACTCGGAAGGCTGAAGCGGAAGGATCGCCGGAGCCCAGCAGGTCGAGGCTGTGGTGGCCGGGAGTGGCCACAGCACTCCAGTCTGGGCAACAGAGTGAAAAAAAAAAAAAAGAAAGTTGATACAGCAAGCATGTTGACGCTATTAGTGTAGCAAGGATTTTAACTCCAAAAGACTGGAGTTTATCAGTCCTTGATTTCCTGCTTACTAGATGGGCAACATTAATGTGTGAGCAGCAGACCAATTAATTACACCAAGCCTGCTTTAACACCATGGCCATAGATTGGTTCTTGCCCAAAAATATCTTTAAGTTACTGTATGGCACTTTAAACTTCTGAGCTTCTATTCATGCTTACTTTCTAGTCTATACATCGCTTATGTCATCTCATACCCAATCTTCGAGAATCATCTCAAATCCTAAATCCTCCAAGAAGCCCTCCTTTGTAAATTAAAAACATAGTGTTGGCTGGGCTCGGTAGCTCAGCCTATAATCCTGTGCTTTGGGAGGCTGAGGTGAGTGAACTGCGTGAGGATGCGGGTTCGAGACCCACCTGGGCAATTTGGCGAGACCTCATCTCTACAATAAATCAAAAATTAGCCGGGCATGGTAGCGTGCTCCTATAGTTCCAGCTACTTGGAAGGCTGAGGCAGAAGGATCACTGGAGCCCAGGAGGTCGAGGCTGCGGTGGCCGGGAGCGGCTACTGCACTCCAGTCTGGGCGACACGGTGAGACTCCAACTCAAAAAAAAAAAAAAAAAAAGCCGGGCTCAGTGGCTCAGCCTGTAATTCTGCGCCTTTGAGAGGCTGAGGTGAGTGGATTGCCTGAGCCTGCGGGTCTGATACCCGCCTGGGCAACGTGGCGAGACCTCATCTCTACAATAAATCAAAAATTAGCCGAGCATGGTAGCACACGCCTGTAGTTCCAGCTACTTGGAAGACTGAGGTGGAAGGATCGCCAGAGCCCAGCAGGTCGAAGCTGCAGTGGCCAGGAGCGTGCCACTGCCCTCCAGCCTGGGCGACAAAGTGAGACTCCAACTCAAAAAAAAAAAAACAATAAAAAACATAGTGATCATTAATTACTGCCTTCTCATAATACCTGTACTTTCAGGATCTCATGTTTTGTCATATGACTATACTATTTCCTAGTTGACATCGAAGTAAGAATTTTAGTTCCTTCAGACAGAGAAATTAATTTTCCAGAGTTCAAAGGAAAGATATTGCTAGACATATAGTACACTTAAAACTTGCTTAATTAAACTGAACAGAGGAAGAATAACCTACTAAAAAATTTTTAAAGGAAAAGAATTCTCTAAAGAATTAATAAGCCGGGCTCGGTGGCTCAGCCTGTAATCCCGCGCCTTTGGGAGGCTGAGGTGAGTGGATTGCCTGAGC